AATAGTTCATGTTAAGAGCCCGTAGACATAAATTCTGTTTTGAGATCACTAGTGACGACTCTACAGGGAAAAAAAATGAATTCTGGTCACGAGCATCCCTAGAGGGGGGGGGGGGATGGAAGATATGACCCCCTCCCCCCTCCCCCTTAATCGTTTTTGTCGGCAAAATCGTTGTCTTGTCGGCAACATCAGCCCCGTCGGCAAATTTGCCGGATTGAAGAGCACCACATTTTGTCCGATACTGTCCATGATAGTCCGATTTGAACGGCAGCCCCATAGGAAGACTGAAAACCCAATCCACATGTGGACCTGGCCAGGAATTGAACTTGGGCCATGGAGGTGAAAGGCCAGGAAGAACTTCTGCGCCAACCCGATTAAAACAGACAAATTGTGATCTGCAGTCTGTCAGGGAATAAAATTACAGTCAGGCTGCGACTGAAATCTGCACTTTTCCCGTCAATTTATGTATCTGATCTTCCAATCTCCAAGGAGATTGCACCATAACAGAAGAAAACGGGGATAAGTTACACGAACTTGTACGGCCTGCACGGCTAGCAACAGACACGCGTCGCAAGGATGCCGCTTTTAATAATAAAAGTTCACACAAGGTTTTGTGATCATACCGTGAACTGTTTGGAAGAAATTTTGCTTTGTTTTGATGTCAGGCTAACGTCTTCATTTTGAATTCACCTAACTTTGACCTTCCGGAGATGTTATAATTTTTGTTACGCCATCATGACGTCATCAGGTATCAAATTGAAAGCGATTTAAGGGCAAATTTTGACAAAATAGTTTGCGTATATCTTTTGAACTAAATAGAGTATCGTTTTCGTTTTTCCTGAGGTTGTAGACTATGCCGTGAGGAACATTTCTTGTCCCCAGACACAAAACCGCTTGACCTTTACTTCCGGTGTTACCGGAAGTGCAATAAAAACTGAATATAGCTCAAAAGCGGAAGCATTTTACTACAGACACATATATTATAAAAGTGTTTAGTGAAGAATGCCAGACACAAAAACAGTGTGATGGCGTCATCATCCGGAAGTCAAAGTCGTTTGACCTTTCCTTCCGGGGCTGCCAGAAGGTCAAAGTTAGGTGAATTCAAAATATAGAAATTAGCCTCAAATAAAAGGAAAACAAGATTCCTTTCCATAACCGATTGAAATCACGCCTTACCAGTTTCCCTCTCATCTCGTAAGACATCTGCACTAGAAAGCAGGAGGTCGTGGGTTCGAGTCCCACCCGAGTGATTTTTTCCAACTTTCACTTGGGAGGTAACACACTGAGTATACAGTGTTTAAACGTCGGTGAAGGGCAAAACCTAATTTAAATTATATCACCCCAACGCAAAATTCCATCTTATAATAGTTTATGCGGTACCCGCTGCTATGTACATCAGATTCGAACCGGCCAACCGATCCCGTTAGCTCGGTGGTCGAGTGGTAAGACGTCTGCACTAGAAAGCAGGTAGACCCGGAAGTAAAGGTCAAGCGAGTTCACGTACACGGCCAAAAATGTTTAGCGATTAATGGTCTATCTGATTACAGAATACAAACATCATTGAATGTTTAGTTCAAGAGTTATAAGTTATTATTATTATTATTTATTCGGCCAAAATTACAAGGTACAACAAGCAATCCACAAAAGTGAAGAGAATTTGGTCACTTTTTCAGTTAAAATCACTTGTAATTTGACACCTGATGACATAATCATGACGTAAGAGTATTAAATATGCACCACTTTGGATGAGGGTCGATATATATTGAAAGTTACAAGTTCATACCATATACCGTTTGAGAGAAAACCCGCGGAGAAGTATTGTCCGGAAAAAGAAAAAAAAGAAAAAGAAAGATTAATCGCAACAAATCCAAAGAGTTGTCGGGTTGTGCCCGACCACTCAAAGAAAGAAAGAAAGATTAATCGTAACAGATCCAAAGAGTGGTCGGGTTGTGCCCGACCACTCAATAATGTGTTGCATTACGTTTGTCCGCATGTCAGCAGCAATCGGACATACAACGATCTGCCGGACCCAGTGAAACTTAACCCCCGACTGCAAAACTTCCTGGATCCGCCTCTGTAGGTCTCTTTATATCACAGCACATCACAATTAATTAAAATAGCATTCATTGAATTGCAGATCAGAAGGAGAATCACCCAACCGGCCTCGCCACGGCTGATGACACACTTTCTAAAATTGGTATCCTTGTGGAGACATTTCTTTGTTCTCGTGTAGTAAAGTGTTCAATTTTGAAAGTGAAGTTTCAAAATGCTCTTATTTTAACCAGAATTAGTTTCCTTGGCTGAAATTTGGACTTGATATCCCTTTTCTAAAACTCTTCCATTTGCGACGGATCAACCCACCTTGGAAATTCCTAGTTTTTGAGTAAAACCCATATATCTTTTTCGTGAAAACTTTGTGGAGACCTATTCATCTATAGAAATTGCCCTGTGGAGACCTTTACAATGTTGTTTTGTTCCTATTGTGTGCGTGTCTCCACAAGGATACGAATTTGTGGTCCCTGTACTGTGACGGACTCTTTTAGGGTTAATGATGAAATGAAAATCACAAACTAGTCAAAAGTATAAGACGCGTTCGCATATTGCTAATTGGAAATAAAGAAATATTTGCATCAGTTAACAGGAAAATGCGAATTACATGCATGCGTGTTCATGAAACCGGCTCCATGTACATGTCCTATGACTTTCTAGAATTGACTGCGTAATGTGTTTGATAAGCCATATACGCGGTATACATTATTACCTATGAATTATTAGGGACAGGTGTCTGTTCAGGGGCGGAGCTAGCTTTCAGAAATGGGAGGGATGAGTCTAAAGCGTGTAGAAGGCACGCCCTGTCGTGGGGTCCGGGGCATGCCCCCAAGGAAATCAAGGAAATCTACGATGATTACTCCTGCATTCTAAGGCAATTTAGTAATACATTTAGGAACTTTGGCATTCCATTTCTTATTCTTGGCCCCATTTTACTAATTTCATAACATTTAGCATACATTAGTCAGCGGCTGGGGGGGGGGGGGGTGCATCACCAACCAACCCCCCCCCCCCTCTAGTTCTGCTACTGCTGTTCAGATATTTTTTTAATTAAAACCTGTCGTTCACGTTTTAACCATGATTTGGACTTCGTGTGACAAGCCTAGGGTGATAAGGATTTAAACCTACACGTACCCATGTCATTCAGTACGCGATAACAATATTCATTTTTATGCCCCGCGGCGAAGCCGAAGGGGCATACTGTTTCCGCCTTGTCCTTCCGTGGGTGGGTGGGTGTGTATGTGGGTGGGTGGGTGGGTGGGTGTGTGTGTCCGGACAAATCTTGTCAGCGCGATAACTTGAGAAATACTTAACATATGAACTTCAAATTTGGTTTGTGGATTGTTCTTGGTAATCCTAAGAAGCCTTTTGCATTTGGGGCCAAAAGGCCAAAGGTCAAGTTCACAGTGGCTAAAACAATAGAAATCTTGTCAGCGCGATAACTTGAGAAATACTTAACATATGAACTTCAAATTTGGTTTGTGGATTGTTCTTGGTAATCGTAAGAAGCCTTTTGCATTTGGGGCCAAAAGGCCAAAGGTCAAGTTCACAGTGGCTAAAACAATAGAAATCTTGTCAGCGCGATAACTTGAGAAATACTTAACATATGAACTTCAAATTTGGTTTGTGGATTGTTCTTGGTAATCCTAAGAAGCCTTTTGCATTTGGGGCCAAAAGGCCAAAGGTCAAGTTCACAGTGGCTAAAACAATATAAATCTTGTCAGCGCGATAACTTGAGAAACACTGTACATGTGAACTTCAAATTTGGTTTGTGGATTGTTTTTGGCAATCCTAAGAAGCCTATTGCATTTGGGGCCAAAAGGTCAAGGGTCAAGTTCACAGTGGCTAAAACAATAGAAATCTTGTCAGCGCGATAACTTGAGAAATACTTAACATATGAACTTCAAATTTGGTTTGTGGATTGTTCTTGGTAATCCTAAGAAGCCTATTGAATTTGGGGCCAAAAGGTCAAGGGTCAAGTTCACAGTGGCTAAAACAATAGAAATCATGTATTTATTCTGAGATTATAGGGATTAGGGATTAATTCATATAAAACCTACAGAAGACACTAATGCTGTCAATGAATGTTCCATGTGACCAAGGTACATGTAAGTTGATGTTAAAAGAAGTGGTGTTATGTCATGGGAACTGTCACCGTTTGTGTTTGTAAACACACCTGACTTGTTTAAAATAAGTATCAAATATTAAAAAGAAACCTGCAGGGCACTGTGACATTCTGCCCAAGTTGCCCTCCCCTTGCCTTCAACATACATGTATTCGGATGTTTGTCTTTTAGGGAATATCCAATGTGTATTTTTATTTATTCATTTATTTATTTAATAATTCATATTAGTAACCGTGTAGCACATTCAATGGTAACCGCTGGTTTCCCATGAGACCCAGTAAAGAGGAGACAATGTGAAGAAATTACAGTTTTAGAGGTGGAACAAAAAACCGCAGGAGAATATTCTGGGGAAAACCCACGGAATCAGGCAGGGACTGAAAACCCAATCCACATATTGACACAGGTAGGAATCGAACCCCAGCCACAGCGGTGGAAGGCGTGGAAAGTAGGCCTACAAGCCACGCCAATTTGACACAAACTATATTTTTCTATTTTCGAGCGTCTGCGTTAAAAAAGAAGGCTTTTTGGCTGTGCTTTTGCGTGCCCCCTCCTGAATCCGAACAAGAAAAGAGAACAAAGAAAAATGGATCCTCTTGAATTACAGTCAGACCGCAAAAACGTGCCTTCGTTGTTCCATGGCTGAACCTGGACGGATTTTTCGATTTGATGTCTTACTCATAAGTGAACAATATTTTTATTGCGATTAACTTAAAATATTTAATTGTTCTTTTCTGTGAAACTCGGAAATAACACGGGGAATTTATCTTTTAAAAAAGAAGGGGTTAAGTTCTTAAACGTAATTTGTTTTCACATTTTTCTTATACAGATCTTCTAAACAAACCATCACCATGGCGCTGGCAGAACCCTGGGGAGACACCAACAGCAAGACCGAGCCAGACCCCAACACACAAACCGACGGGGACGGTGAGGGTCTGACCTTAACGTCAACCAACACCGAGGGCACCGAGACGCACACGGATGTAGTGATCGCACCGGACATGACAGGGATGGACATCACCGTCTGGGGCCTCTGGTGGCCCGTACACCGATACGGCTTCGGCACGCTGTTCTTCATGCTCTGCGTGTACGCGCTGTACGCGACCGTCATGCGCATCTTCAAGAACCGAGCCGTCGGGGGCGGGATGCGATCTCGAAAATCAGTCCAACCAGTCTTCACCTGCATCAATATCTTGGTGTTCCTCCTGGGGCTGAGCAACACCCTGATGCTCTTCATAGACCCATACCTCTTCCTCCGTAAGTTTCCACTTTTGCTGGGAGTCATCTTGATCAATATGCCGTACCCGTGTATGACGTCAGCGTTCGCCTTGGTCAACTGGGTCCTGATTTCCATCTCCCAAATGCGCATGACGAGGACGTCTCGACTGCGCAGCGTCTGGTTCCTGACCGGCATCATCATCCTGCACTTCTTGTTCATCATCGGCGCCAGTCTAATCTTGGTCTTCATCTTTCCAGTCTTGATCATAGGCATCATATGTCATGGTTTCTTTGTCCTTTGGGGAGTGGTGCTTTCTCTGACCTACATCTATAGCGCTTGGAAGATTATGAGCACGGAGAAAAACAATCGTAAGACGCTCTACGATATCTCTGTTCGAGATGGGAGCACTGTTGACGGCAGCATAAAAACAAATGCCGGCTCTAAAATCTCCCGAACGATTCCCAAAAGACTTTCATCGATATTCTCAAGAAATTCCAAGGGTCCCTCCATCAATGATACCCCTGTCTTCTCGATTGGTCAGAATGGAAACATTCATCAACCCGTTACCCCCATGCCGTCATCCATTCTTGAAAGTGAATTTGAATCCAAATTTACCACAATTGATGGCGTAAGTGACGACATTTCTGACCCATCCACTCAAGAAAAGATTGGAGAGCAGGATGAGAACAAGACTGAAACTTCACTTGACAAAGACAAAGACCAGTCCGGCACTTTAACGAAGACAGAGTCTTCCCCAAACGGCGGACTCAAGAAAGGCAACGCCACTGGTAACGATGTGTCCAAATCTTCGAACGCGAGACAGACGCGTGGCAATTTCAGCAAGAGTGCGCCCTCGGCATCTGGGAAAAAAGGTGGGAAATTTGACAAGCAATCTGGAGCCAAGATGTCCGGTACCGGCCGGCCGCAGAAGTCTACACAAAAGGTAAGGATCCGTCTGTATATGACTAAGGGTTAATTTTTGTGAACATAGGCTAAGCTTGCTCACACTTTAAGGATTATCCCAGTTTAGCCTATGTCTGCAGTTCAGTCTGCAGTTATTAATTGAAAAGGGAATTGACGTTATAATTGTCCCATTAACTGTCTTTCATGCGTCAAGAAACGAAATGGAAGGAGTTGCATTAAGGGTAGGATTTTGTAGCACCTGTTTTTAAAAACATTGTTTGAGTAGCTCTGTCTTTCTTGCAGGTGTTTCGCATTTCAGCCATCACTGCCGCGTTAGGCATTGCCGCATCAGGGTTGGGTCTGTACGGCATTCTAGGCTTGATGATAGCCAGTGCAGCTGACCAACCGACGGAGTGGGGCTGGTATGTGTTCCAGACGTGCTTCAGGTAAGTTTCGAAGGCAGATTTTGTTCTAGGTTGCACCAGACTCAAGGCCGAGTTACCGTTGTGCACATGCTTATACTGACACTTGATCGCAACGATTTCTAATATAGCAGCTCCACTACACTTTGGCATGATCACTGGAAACAGTTTCAAATGTGGTCTTCGCAGGCAGTTTTTCAAACGTTATTTCCCCCAGAAAATTACAGTAAACAGTTGGTTATTTAGGTGTGGCGTAAATATTAATTTTTGTAAGGTGAAATGGCGATTGATTGAAATCCTGTGCAAAACATTTAATCACTTACTTAATTCAGTTTAATTAATTAAGACAGAACCATTACATGTACATGAATTATTATCCGATCCAGTTATCAAATCACAATTTACTAAGATGTGCTCAAATATTGGCGTCCGTTTCGTATACATATCGACCCTTTTCCGGATAGACCGGAAGTGTGCAGTGAACTTGCGCGTTGCATTCTGGGATAGTTAACGCCACGAATGGGATCGTGTGCAGCGCAGTGTCCCACAATGCAACGTAACATATTCGTTCACTGTACATTTCCGGTCGTGGCTACCTGAGGTAGATCCATTGTCATTGGCTTTTAATACCAACGCGCTCTGTCTGTTTCTACCTTGATTGTCAGGTTTGTTGAGCTAGGTATGGGGTGCACCATGGCATACTTCACAACTCAGCCCTTTCCCCGTCGACGGCAACGATAGATGGACTCGACTCTATCTACAACACGATGGATGGCATCAGATACTTGTACTTTATAATGAGATCATTAGGCCCATTGTTTTGGATGTTTAGACCATTGTCTTAAATTATTTGTTCAAGAATTAGGCAACGAATTTGTCTGTCAATTCGTACTCGATCATGAAGACTGCCGGATAGAGGCAACGAATCAGTCAATACTTGTCAGTGTTATGCATGTTTATCTGTGTCATGGATAATTGGCTAAGCTGTAGCAGCGGTTGCATAGGCTACCCAAAAAGTAGCAAAAATCCGCAATCGATCAAAGCATGCATGCAGCTGACGTGGCAACCACAGCATCAGCAGCAGAGGCAGCCGCAGTTGAGCAGCAGCAAAAAAAAAAGTAATATATGTAGAAGCAGGCAGTAGCGACAGCAGTATTTTCACCCATCAAACACGTCAGCAGTAACATCAGTAGAAGCTTACCTATGCACAAGCGCAGTAGCAGCAGCGGACGGCACCTGTAGCATGCAGTTGAAGCAAGCAGTCTTGATCCGAGACGCTGACTGAACGATAAGGGACGGTGTATAGTGCGCCCTCTAATGGCACAACAATTAGACCAGCAGGCCTACTCACACTTACGTATTGGCCATTTCGTTTCATTGGTTTAACTTTTTCTCCTAGGCTTTCCTAATGGAACCAATCAGCAATCGAAAAACTGTTCAATGGCTCACCCGACGGTCGTAAACATACGCCCTATGCGTGCGGTGATCAAGCATGGAGCTATAAAAATGAACTGTGTTTGTTCGAATTTGTACAGACGGTCTCATTACAAAAAGTGGCCCTGCCCCCATTGCTACGAAATGTTCAAGAGGTAAGGGCGAGAACGTAAAAAAAAACCAATTATGCAAAGGCGTTACACAACAATGCAACTATCACTCTTGATCACCGACGTCTAGGACCACGAGTACCAGCAACAACGCCTAAAGAATAGTATCTGCAAAAGGTCACCAGTTTTCATGCAGTAAAACCTTTAATAGCGACAATTGTATAGCAGAAACAGTGAATCTTTGTCATTTAAATGATGTAAAAGGCCTGAAGATTATTCAGTCAATGCAATGAATTATTATCTACAGCAATGTATAGTGTAGATATCTTTTTGCACATCAGTTAATTGTTACATTCTTAAAACTGTAAATAGAAAGTGGAGCGAACGAAACTGAAGTGCACGTTTAACTTAAGTCTTGTTTCTGATTTGTTACTGTATAAAATGTACCACTGTACAATCAAGTTACAGTCGACTCTCGTTAAAACGAGCACGGTTAAGACGAGATTTCCGTTAAGACGAGCATATTTATATATTAAAGTCTGACCCGGAAAATGCGTAATGTGCGAGTACTCTGCACTCACTTCACTCATGTTTTATCAAATGTGAAACAAAGATGTTTGCTGGGTGACGGTCTCTAAGATTTATGTTTTTAGTTTTAGCCCTGATTTGTTTAAATTAAAAAATAAATTGGCTTTCCGGATCTGAAAACGTTTAATGAAGTAATTATAGGATTTATGCCTTAAAACTTTGAAGACCAACGTGGAAGCGGTCACGTATTAAGAAATTTAATCTCGTACGAAAATTTAATAACAGTAGTGCAAATTGAAATTTAAAAATTAAATTTAGGCAATCGGATTACTTAATTTGTGTCTGTGTTTAATATCGAGATGATGAAATTTAACCAAAAGTGTACTCGAACCAATATGTTTCTAAAAAGATAAATTGTAGGCCTATAGAATTACGTGTTTGGCTTGCAGCCGTAGCAAATACAGTCAAGCCCTGATAAGAAGAGCAATGTTAATACAAGGTCCTGCTTATAACGAGCAAAATTGTAGGTCCCAAGTCTTTGTTTTTCATTGTTCTCCTTTGTTTTCCATTACTGATAATACAAGGTACCTGTTATAACAAGGTAATTCGTTAAGTCCCAAGGACCTTGTTATGAAGGTGTTCGATTGTATAACCAAAATTGTCTTTACATCAAAAGGGCCAGTGCGAAGCATGTTTGAGCAAAAACGGAAATGTGCGAACATGTTCTGTTTTTATTTGTTTGAAATAAAGCCTTACTGTGCACGGAAAGGAAAGTTCATTCAAAATGTAATAGATCGACCATCGACAGAATATGGTTGCAGGTGTGAGTTACGCGTACATTCAAGGATTTTGTCAACTTCAAAGCCGAATGATTTTGTAAATCATAATTTAAATCTCCCGGTTGAGTGTTTACGAGTGTGTTCAAACCGAGCACTTATTGGAATTTCGAACTCAATATACGCCTAAGTATGCTGATGTAATTATACCGTATATACAGTCGAATCTCGTTAGTACAAATTCTGTTAATACAAAATTCTGGTTATAACAAACATAAAGCCTTAGTCCCTACTGTGTATTTATTTGCACAATGAATGAGACTGATGTTCCTCTTAATACAAAATTCTGATATACATGTAACAAACAATTTGGCTAGGTCCGAGCGAGTTTGTATTAACGAGACTCGACTGTACATGTAAATGGTCCTAGACAGAATTAAACCTTTTGCGTTAAGGCGTAGTCAAGAGAACAATGATTTTAGTATTGTCGGGATAGGCATTCATTGGACATTCACATTAAAATGAAAAAAAAAAAAACATCTGAGATACCCATCGTCGCATTCGGTCTAACCTTACTGTCTCCACTGAGTGAATCACATGTCTTTGTCATGGATGAATTGTGGACGGATGTTTTGTAAGAAAGTATCAAACATCTTATTAGCATTGAAAGAATGACTGAATTACAGTGTGCGACATCTCCAAAGGCGATCTTCTCCACTTTTATTTTGATGTTCCACAATTCAGCAAAGCTCCGACGCACCCCCTCCCAACAACTACACATGTACATTTTGTACATCACTGCCAAGGCCATCGTGGCTTAACTTGACAAAAGGGCGAAGCGACTGGAGCGGGAGACCACACACGCGAGTGGCGAAGCCACGAGGCCTTTTCCAACTTGTCAAGAATCGGGATCCAGAAGGGAGGGGGGTCCCCCCAGCACTGACTCAAAATGTTAGTTTCCCTAGAAATACAATGTACATGTATATGAAACTTATGTAAAACCAGTCCCCCCCCAAAAAAAAAAATCTGACAATATGTCCGCCTTTTTACAACATTCGGCCGGACAGGCTGGGGTGAGGGGGGGGGGTGATGTACACAATCTGTAACAGTAGAGTGTTCGTGTTCACGGTCGAGATCTTAAGTGAGTGCATAATTCGCAAGCCTTATGGCCTTACTGAGGTCACCTCAAGCTCCACCCTGCATGAAGGAATATTTTTGAGAGTTTTAAAGGGATCAAACGTTATCTGCAACATCAGCTGACATTTGAAGAAAAAAAGAAGGGGGAAAAAATGTGTCGCCGCACTACTTTTTGGGCAAAGCTCCATGCCAGAAACGCGGAGACTTCTTTTGGTCTATGCTGATGTACTCTCCCCCCCCCCCCCCCCTGCAAAAACAATTCCTGGATTCTGACAATGTACATGTAATATCATCTCCCGAGTGTCACTGCACTATGAACATAGAGTCAGTATGTACACATGTGTGGGCGTTGAAACCATAGAGCAAGGCTTATAACGGATGCATTAGATATTACATAGGTGTAACGTAGAAAAATAGATCACTAGAGAAAAAAACCTGGTTCCAATGATTATGTCGCGATTTAGCTTTTTAAGCTGGGACAAAAAAAAGAAGAAAAGGAAACAAGGAAACAAAAATAGACTTCTCACAAATTTAATTTAGTATCAAAAAACCTCCCAACAAACAAAAAAACAATTTCTATCCTTAAGCGCAAAAAAACCTAGTTTCCAGAAATACTTCAAGGCAAAAAATCTCAATCAGGATCAACAACGAATAAAACACTCAAAAGAATTTGCCAGGGATAAAAAAATTAACAATTTGATAAAATTTAGGGATGATTACAAAAAAACTAAGTTAAAATAATAAAACCCAAAGAAGAAAAAAAAGGAGAAACCCACACAGCACTAAAGGAAATGACTCTAAAAGCACAGGAATGAACTAAAAGCCTGTAACAAGAAAATACAAACAAATGGCAATTTAAAAACAGTTCTTATAAAACAAAACTCCTATGAAACTACAGTCCATGTACATGTACTAAAGTATCCTCTAAGCAACATAAGGTCCAAATGCAAGTTTACCACTGTGTGCACAAGGGATTAACGCACTATGGACTGCAAGATCCTGCACAGTCCTATGGGTCATTATGTATGCAAATCCTCTGGACTGTCTCAATAAACTATTACTTCTAGGAAGGAGGGAACAAAGGATTAAGGCATGGTCTAGGCTAAATGAATACAGGTCTATGTACATGTAGTCAAAAAGAACAACTAAAAAAATCTAGAAAAATATGAAAATCCACTCAAAATGCAGAAAAAAGGAACTTAAACTCTGAGGATATTATACACATGAAACTTAAATGCAGGTAATCCTAGACTCAAGCAACTAAAACTTGGACAAACTTATATTACAAAACTTATTAGAATAACACAACTTCAATATTTTCAAAGAATGGACACCTTAAAATGTTTAGAAATGAGCCAAAGGAATAATCAAGTTGGAATAAAAACTTATAACAGTAATCAAAAGTTTCAAAGTTTCTAAACAAAATGGCTAGTTAAAACGACTTCTAAGAAAAGAGCGGAGACACAAACGATTTCATGTATAGGAAAAAAACTCTATCTTAAAAGGAGCTAAAATGATACTGAACTGGATAATATGAGTATCATAAAGGCAAATATAAAACTGGAACTATACAATAATAGAAAAGTAATGAAAACTCACCAATGACTGGACTAGCAGACAAAAGAACCAGCTAGGAAGACACTCTCCAGGAGGAAATATATGACTACATGTATATGATGTAAAGTAATGTCTCACTGCTGGTCTGCTGGGTAATAATCCCTCTGGCATGACAATGCGGCAGCTATTATATGGGGGGACTTGTGGGCTAAAATAAACAAACAGGGGGTCACACTACCAGGAAAAGGGGGGGGGGGACATCTAAACTTCAACTAAAATGATTTTCTTTTCTAAGGGGAGCTACTCCTATTTAATTCACTATAAATATACACAAGTAAGACTTGACACTGCCACATAGGCTTATATCAATAACAACAGTTTGCATGACGTCCTTCTTGTTTGCATTTGTCTATAAATGATAATGATGTCAGTACAAATTCATAACGTACTCGAAATCATAATGCGCACCAGCAGAAGCAGACAGAAACTTCTTGGCAAATAGGGATCTGATCTATGTATAACAGTTCGATATCTGTTGACTGTTTATTCTAGCTAGGGCTTTAATTCCTGTAATTCGACAACCCATCCGAAACCAAAACCGACTAAAGTGAACAAAGTGCAAGCATATAATTCGAGGTAGGCAACTATGTCTAAAAAAAATAAATACATGTGATGACCAATTAACATCCGGCTCTGGAAGTAAAGTGTCGTAAACACGGAAATATCAGTTACGGGCCAATATGTCGGGCTAAAGATTTGGGTTCGATCCAACCACCGAAAGCAATGGACTTGCCAAAATTCACGAAAAGGAGACCACGTCCCAATATACAGGGGTGGTCAAAAAAATCACTCACAACAAAGCTTTTATTTCGGACGTGGCCTGATGGGTGCAGTGAACTAATTCAAGTGAGAATTTCTACACGAGCTGATTAGCATAAAAAGTGAACCCCCCCCCCCTTCATTTGAAAACGGAGACCGTTTGGCTTTAAAAACGGTGGAATTGTGTAAATGTAGCCAAGGATCAACTCCCTGGTTTTTGGGCTTCCATCTGAGGGCAGGCTTGATAAAATTACGGTTGAAAAATGGGTCCTATTTGCCTGAAGAATGGAAGAATGCCACTTGTAAAACGGCTACAAGCAGGCTTGGGAACTATCACTTTTCGGGAGGTGATTTTGTTTTGGTGTGAATATTTAAAACTGTAATCGGCTAGTCTACCCAAAATTGAAAAGAAATTAAAGGGAATATATATACATCATTTGCTTTTGCTGTAATTTTCAGAAATGGATGGAATTGGGGGGTTGGAAATATATAGCAAATATAGTTACACTGACTTTTTTGAGGTTTTTGGTTCAAAAATGCTATAAAAACCAAGAAAAACAACCATTTTCCTGTAGTCTGGTTCCCTGACTCCATTTAAGAAGAAACAGAGCAATTTACGTACATTGGGGAATTGTAAGGTCCGGGAACCAGTTTAGCTAGCTTGTACCCGTTCATAGGTGTGTAATCGATTGCAAACAAGTGCGATGGTCAATTGGGGCCAGTATTTGAAAAAAAGCCAGTTTTTTCCAACGCTGATCGGCCGATCAGCGTTGGAAATTGATACAAAAATACCACTTTTCTTGAAAATGACAGTATACCAGGTGCCATGATTTTACAGGATGCTTTACACTGTCATTCACTAACAGTCCACAAGGTATTTAAAAATGATTTGGTAGTTTTATTTTTTGATGTTTGCAAATGTTGTATTTTCCCTTTAAAAGATGAAGTACAAGACAATAATTTAATTTTTGTTTGAGAAACCCCAGTGAAGTCGGCTTGCATGTTATTTGGCCCTGAACTTTGTTGATTTTACACTGTTTTCAATGGGGCTTGAATTGGTTCAGTGCACCCTGATTCTGTTTACTACCTGGAACTTGATCCGCAGTGTGTCAAAGGTTATTCAGTATGAATGACAAGAATTTAAAGTTGTACAAGTCTGTCACGCGTAATATGTCCGCCGTTATCAACATCACTATTTAAACACAGACTCGATTGCTTAACATCGTTTTTGTGTGCAAACAATTAGAGTGATTGTTTATAGACAGCCAGACAGCGATCCGTTCATTATGAATTGAAGGGAAAGTGATACAGTTGAGACTAATTCCATGAAACGCCTGGAGCATTAGTTGGCAAGTCTACTCCACGCAAGCCACATGTATTATGAAGTCGAAGGACATAATCTCGTGGTTAGAAACAAACGGAAGTTTACTCTTGTTTCATTGTGGGACAAAAGCCAAATTTTATCGCTTCCTCATTTCAGTCAAAGCTACTGCGGTGTCTGCATGTTCAGTTGAACTGTCAAAGATTCTGCTGAAAATGTCGTCAAATTTGGCAGCCTTTTCTTGTTGGTTGTTACTACAGCATGTACATTTAGTGATGATGATGGTGTCGACATGCCACGGAGTTCTCCCTCTCAATCCCATCAAGGACCGAGAAACGATATCGGAGCACCGTGGCTCAGCGGGTGTAATCACGGGGCGCTCACGGTCTTGTGTGCCTGGCTACACCTGCTTGTGTTACTCCGATAGCGGTAACTCACACATCTACAAGAAAGTCCAGTGTGACGCTGCAGGGGTGAATTTCGATGCCTTGATGGAGTCCATTCCACCTGCCGAGCTGATACTCCTGACGTGTGCCTTCGACCGCAGCAGACATAACCTGACGGCTACAGCTCTGGCCAAGCACGCTCAAAGTCTTCAGCATCTACAGCTGTCTCTCTGCTTCGTGGGGAACATCGATCCGGACACCTTCTCCGAAACCTCTTCCATGGAGATGGTCGACATCTTCCGCGCTTCCTTGACACCTGACAATCTCCCAGCTTTTGGAAAAATTACAAATGATGACGGGGACAAGAGTGTTACTGTCCACTTGCAAACTAATGAACTGACCGCCTTGCCTGAATTCGCGTTTGGGACTGAACGCAACAAAAACATCACGGGACTATCTCTGAGTTATAACGGTATGCAGGCGGTTGCACCCAAGGCGTTTTGGGGTTTAGGTAAACTTGAGAAAGTGTATCTGAACAACAATGGAATTTCCGTCTTGCAAAACGCAACTTTCGAAGGATGCCACAATTTGGAAAAGCTCTCTCTCCATGACAATAACATCAGTTTGATCGAAGATGGCGCCCTCGCACCATTAACGTCTCTCCGAGTGCTGGACTTGCAAAGGAATCGCCTGCGTTCCCTCGACGCATGCGCATTCCGCGGGATGGCGCAACTGCAGTTTTTGAACCTCAGTCACAACAGTCTTGGCAGCTTGCCAGATGGAATCTTCGAGGGTCTGACGTCACTGAAGGAGCTTCGCCTGGAGTGGAACTCGCTCCTCTATTTTGAGTCTCGGCTCATCGGGTCATCACCTTTGGGTCAGCTGACGTTATTCAACATCTCCCATAATTCCCTTCGTGACGTCACACCATTCCTCCTGCAGACGAAGATGAGCAACCTCGTCAGCGCTGATTTCTCATTTAACAGTCTGCGCATGCTCCGTTCGGGAGCCGTGACAGGTTTGCCTTTACTACAGGAGGTCAATTTTCGAAACAATTCCTTGTCCCATTTAGAGTGGGCCGCGATAGCACAGACACCAACACTTCTCGCAGTTGATTTTCGATTCAACAATTTCAGTCTGGTGCCCGAGGCATTCGTGGACATGTTCATCGTGGAAATACAACGAGAGAAGCAAATATCTACGCTGCTCGGCGGGAACCCGTTCTCATGTGGTTGCTACTGGTCCCTTGTTGTGAGATTGAGTAGTGAGAATTTCTACCCCGTTGTGCTGGTCGACATTGAAGAATTCGTGTGCGAAGCGCCCTCTTTTGTCAAAGGAAGACGGTTCATGCAACTTGAGAAGGACGAGTTTTGGTGTCCACTCGACTCGTGCATTCTTCAAGGCTGCCAGTGTTTTAACCGAACAATAGACAAGGCGCCGATCATAATTTGCCAAGAAAACGCTGCCCTAGCTGACTTCGGACAACTTCCTGTTACCATAGCTACATTCGAATGCCTTGGTTGCTTAGGCACCGGTATCTCGTCGGTGCCCGCACAAAGCTTCGCTGGTCTCTCTCACTTACAGACGCTGAATTTGAATGGGAACAATCTTACCTCTATCAGACCGGGAACTTTATCAGATTTAGCGAATCTCCAAAGGCTGTCATTTGGTGATAATAATTTGAATAGAGTCAGCAGCAGTGAGATGACGTCATTGTCGTCATTGGTGACAGTTGATTTCCATAGTAACAGACTGCGTCATGTAGGAGTCGATGTTTTCGCTTCAAGCCAAGACCTGCAAAGCATTGACTTGAGTGACAATGAATTAGCAACTCTCCCGGATGGATTGTTTAACCTCACGGATGATTTGCAATCAGTGCGTCTCTATGGCAACCCACTGGTTTGCAATTGCTCTTTGCTCTGGCTGAAGTATTGGATGCAGGAGAACTTCCGTATCGTTGAGCAACTACAAGCCGTGCTGTGTGCTACCAACGAAACGGACGTCTGGATACCAGTTGTTCGGGTTGCCGACGAAGACTTTGGTTGTACGAACGGCAGTGACGTCATCACAAAGATTGTCGTTCATAATAACGTTGTTTTGCTATCTGTGACCTCTTCCGTTGTGTTTATTGTCTTTGTGGCATCCCTGGTTGCTGTGCGGTACCGTTTCTCTATCAGGGTTATGCTGTACACTCGTTTGGGATTGCTTTGGGTTCATGGCACTGAAGATGAGAACGAGAGTGATTTCATCTACGACGCCTACCTCGCATACAGCGACGACAACATCAAACAGGCAATCCACGAAATCGGTCCACGGTTAGAAGAAAGGGCGCCCCCATACATCGCCTGTCTACGACACCGCGACTTCCCTGTGGGAGATTCCCTCTCCACCACCATAGTGGAGTCTATCAACGCGAGCAAACGAACAATACTGATCCTCAGCCCCAGCTTTTTTGAAAGCGAGTGGTGCTCATTGGAGTTCCAAGCCGCGCATGCGCAGACCCTCCGGGATAAGATGAACCGCATCATCGTCGTCATCGTGGAAGATTTCTCGCGAGATTTGCTGGAGGAAGACTTAAAGCTGTACATGTCAGCAAGTCGGTGCTTAAAGATGACAGATCCGCTATTTTGGGATAAACTCTTTTTCGCTCTTCCCAAGAAAGCCAAGGAAAAGAACACTGATTTACTTTTAGATAATCAGGAAGTGAGGCTTGACCCTTGTCATGCAGGCCACGTGATAACATAAAGTTGTGACGTTTCCCACATCTTGGCTTCGTCTGGCTCTGGCTATCTTTGAACACAATCATAAAGATTAATTGATTTTGAAACCAAACGCTGATGGTACATGTACCATCGGCGTTTGGTTTCAAAATAAATTAATCTTTATCTAACCCGAACTCACATCAGACAATTTGATGTAGCGTAGTTACATTGACTAGAAGGCTTACTCAGGGGCCTTTTTAAAATGATGATTTTGTAGCTGAATTTAGTCTTCACAGCCGAAGTTGGAGTAGTCTGTGAGTATCACCCGTTGTCCGCGGAGCCCTCTCTATCTCCAGTCCAACGTCTGTATATAATTATCTAAGCATGCAAATTTATGCGACCCCGCTTGCCAGCCAATCAGAGTTGATTTTACAAAACTGTAACGTCGATTCGATCAGAAAAGCGGGCTAAGCTGGGGTGGTTTTGCTTAAAGATGACAGACCTATGTTCCCCAATACCGATGTTCCCCGAAATCTTGCTCTAACCCTAAGCCTAACCCTATTCCCTAATCCTAAGGATTTTGGGGAACATCGGTATTGGGGAACATAGGTATTGGGGAACATCGGGTAGACCCCTAAGCTGTTGATTGATAAATTTGGATGCCATGTTTTTGTAATACAAAAACGACTTACCGAAGGCCCGATATAGAATTAGGCGCCCACTGAATGGTCAGAATCTCGAGGTCAAGACGCAGTCTTGTTTTGCATAATTAATCGCCGAATCTGCTCCATATCATAGATCCTTGTTGTGCAAGGCCCTCAGGGGATATTCCAAAAACTTAAAAGATGAAGCTAAGACTTGAATCCCGGCCACTCTTAGGGCCTATATACATAGTTTACACTTATACATGTTACTGTAGTTTGTAAAGTTAATTGCGAGTCCCTTGCCCGACTTAATTTGTACAGGACCATGAACTTATATCCAAGAAATTTTGGGGCAAATACTCATATATATGTTATACTTACTTGGTACTTGGTAGTTATCCTCCTGAATACTCCACGCGGAGGTCTAACATTATCATTGATATATTTCTTGGTATGTGTTGTACCGAATATAAGCAATTTTTAATGTTTTTTTTTTTTTTACTGTATCCGGTTTGCGATGTATTTTTTTATGTATCCAGTTTTTTTTATTAATCTTAAAATTAATGTGGCCTGACGTTGCGAACTTAGCAAGTTCTTCTTCTGAGGCTAAAACAGAAACGATAGAGGTACATACATTAACATGGGGGTGCACACAAACATGCAGGGCTGAAAGAAGAAACACAAAAGGAGGATTAGGTGTGAAAGGTGTGGAAAGATGCAGGAGAGGTGGATGAGAGAACAAAGAAACAAAGGGAGATGGCAAGCCACAAGGGGTCTTGTGTAAACAGGGGAGGGACCAGAAAGGGGAAGGATCAAAGGTCACAGGGAGTGGGAACGGACAAAAGAGTGTGAGAGTGAAGGGATGATGTGGGGGGGGGACAGTATGGAGGTGGAAAGGGATGAAAGATGGGGGAAGATGGGTAAACACAAACAAGGAAGACCAGATGGATTATTTGTAACAGAAGACAATGGAGGAAGAAAAGGATTAATCCTTTCCAAGTTTTTTTTATTGTTAATCGAAATTTGCATTATTATTTTGTACATAACATTTTTTGGCGCTTAATAAATATTAATAATAAGGGTATAAATGTGTGCTTCTGAGCTTTTCAACATTTCATGTAGACCAGTTGGAGTCTGGACGCTGATAAACCTCGAGCCGAAAGCGAGGGTAATTATCAGCACTCCAGACTCCAACCGGTCACATTCATAGTGTCTAATACCGACCAAACACATTTGTATTCCAATTCATATATAAATACCTTTTCAATAAAAAAATAACTCTTTTCGGTCCTAAGTCAAAACAAGTCAAAAGTTTAACATTTCAACGATTTTGATAAACAAAATACATTGTACCCTTCTGGCTATACATTGGTTAACGGCCCTCTGCTAAACAACTCCTTATTTGGTGATTGACGCGCGCGTCTCATAACGCAGTTGTACCGGTGAAGTGTGAATTTATGAAATACGGATTCACTGGTAGAATTGTGCATGCCTACGCGAGGATTGTGAACTTTCAGGTGCTGGCACCGAATTTCGCCTGGAGTTAAAACTTCATGCGACATCTTTATTATCTGTTCAATTTGTTTTGAGGTTAACCAATGGCTATTGATAGAAACTTCCATTCAAAGACGATCACCCCTAAAAGTAGTCCTGAAGCCCAGCGCCATTTTGAAACAGGATGCTACGATCCATTGCAAAAAAGAGCAATTTTAAGGCCCAAATTGATCCGAATTTCGCAGAAATACGAGCTCGCAATCAGGCGCAGTTCCACGGGGGGGGGGGGGGGGGGGCTGGGGCCGAAGCCCCCCAATTTTGTTAAGCCCCCCCCCTCCCCACAAAAAAACAACCAATTTCCATAAAAAAATGAATGGTAGTAGCCATTTTTAGAAGTTGACCTGTAAATTATCCCCCCCCCCCCTCCAAAAAAAAAAGAGTCGTGAGAAGGGGGTGTTATAGTGTGCATAATTATAGTGTGCCTGATTGTAGGATTTTATCAGCGCTCCCCATTGAAAATATGGTACGAGCCCCCCCCCCCCCCCCCCCTATAGATTTTCGACTGGTCCACCCCTGCTAGGCCCACCAAAAATGAAGGCTCCAGAACCGCGCCCGGCTCGCAATTCTGTTCACGGCTTCTGTTCTCAAAAAAAAAATGGATTCTAGATGCTGCTGTGTTGCGATCAGAGACAATTTCTGACCACTTTAATCAAATTTTCTTGAGCAAATATTATTTAACATTGTCTTCGGGTTTGGAGTACATGTAACTGAATCAGCTACTCTGAGCTATAATCAAATAAAGGCTACAATTTGTATTCTGGGACGTACAAAGTGTGTTGCGGGGGGGGGGACATATGACATCCCACACTTTACAAGTGGGGGGGGGGATGGGGCGGGAACATTCCCAGAACTCTAACTAACGGATAGTACAGCGTATTGGTGATAATATTGTTCAGTTTGATGATGAAAGCATGCCATTTGGCACGAAGTCACAGCATGGGAAAGATATTTGGCTAAACGGCCATCGCAGATGTGTCCTGCATTATTTTGTTCCCGCAGCTAATATAAAATATTCCACATTACGGACACACTCTCGCAAAATGTGGTCCAGCAGCTTTCTATACAAAAACCTCGTTGTCTTGGGGTTTTGTACGTAAACCTTATCAGTCAGCCGATCACGCTCAATTGACTTCGGCCAAACCGCAGTCCCATCATAAGAAATAAGTTAACAATGTTATCCGAACCATTTTTTTCCGAGAGTGTGTCTCTAATGGTTGATGGGCTTTTAAAAAGAACTTTTGCAAATGGGAAAGACACTTTGGAAACATCCAATCAGTTTGAATATGCTTCATGAATTTCTGAATAAACGAGCACATTTTTAACAGTATTTAATTACCATTATTTTTCGGTGTGGTGGTGGGGGGGGGGTGGCTGTGGGGGGGGGGGGGTGGGCTAAACAGAAGATACATCAGAATGGCGCAATAAGACCAACAGCGGGCGCAATAAATTTGATTAGGGTTTCAAAATTTCTACGCGTCCGCGTCGTTAATTTGCATAAAAAGTGCCCCACAATTTTTTGCAAAAAACGAGACCGTCTAGTTTAAAAATCGGTGGAATCGTGCGAATATAGCCGAGGATCATCTCCCTAGCTTTTGGGCTATTATCTAAGAGCAGATTTGATAAAATTAGGGTCCAAAATGGGTCCTATTTGCACGAGAAAATCATGTAGGGATGCCACTGGTAACTTTGGCAGTATGCAGGCTCAGCATTACCGGCAGGCTTCTGACTTAGGCCTATACAAAGAGTTTGGTCCGGCACGATACAATCACTTCGTTGATTCGTGATATCGTGCCATACAGAGTTATTCATGCATGACTCGACCGTCCATAGCTCCACGGAAATCTTTGAAAAAAAGCCTTACAATATGCTGCGTCGTTCATTTGTGAATGCGCTCATTTTAAAACCCTATTCTCACCTAAAGCTAGCTACACATAGTTATTCTGTTGTATTTGGTACATAATTCCCCCCAAGGAGCGTTTAGGGGGTTAGGGTTCAACATACATGGTATTGTTGAATAGTGGATCATATGGACAAGTTTACACTGACAACTGCAAGGCATATGGCAGTGGTTTTCCGTGTCTGTTTTCTACCAAACTGTAAGTACTGTAGATGCACGTTTTCTAGGCAGTTGTCTTTTCCTCATATTTCAATTAATGGTTACTGAGATAGTTTGATAAGGAAGGGGGCACGATCATCCAGTGTATATGGAAAGGAAATGTGCAAAAATGTCATTGCTAGTGCTACCTTAACACAGTGGGCCACTGGGACGTGACAGTTGAAGAACCTTATGCATTAGATGTGTACATGTACATGTACTGTATGTACATGTACATGTATACATGTATATCGATGCACTATGGAGGTAAGAAAACTACACTCAACCAAAAAAAGAAAGTCCCCCTTAATACTTTTCTGTTTTACTCAAAAACTACTGGGCACATCTTGCTCAAATTACGACTGATCAGTACAGAAATCCCTTAGCAATCCAGCCATACTTCTTGTTAGGCCCAAAACAGTGATAATGTGTACAAAATAATGCAATTTATGACCAATGGTACCAAGAAAAGTTGTACTTTTGTATACGTTCAAGGCGAGTGTGAACCACAACTTGCACGTATACAAAAGTGCAACTGTTTTGGGGTCCATTTGTCATAAATTGCATAAATTCGCACACATTATCACTCAGTGTTTTGGGCCAAATAAAGGGTATATGGCTGGATTGCTAACGAATTTCTGTACATGATTTGAGCGAGAGGTGCTCAGCAGTTTTAGAGTTACACAAAAAAGTATTGGAAGGGGGGGGCTTTCTTTTGGGTTGAGTGTACTTGGCATAATTTGATTAAAGTATAAGAGAGAAAGGTCGAAACATTTTATGTGTTTACACTCAATTGTGCTGTGTACAGCTGAGGTGAATAACACCATGGATGATATGAAATGCATGTATTCTTTCCTAAATTAACATAAATCCTGCCTGGTAATCTAGCCAACCGGGTACATTGTGCCATGTGTGTTTATTTAATTCTGAAAGAAAATGGAGGGTTGTGTTTCTCCATCAGTCCTAAGTTCTGTGTTGACTTTATGACATTATTGAGCTGAATATAATTATTTCACTCTTTTTTCTATGTTTCTATGGTTTTCTTGTCAATCCATGCGCGGGAGAGTTTAATAGTCTGACCCCACTCCAGTAGTGGTGGGACTACACAACTTTAAAAGTATGCCTCAAACGATTTTCAAGGTTTTTTCGGCGATGACTGACAGCCACTGACGTAACGATGTCAAAGTGTTCATTTCTACCCTGTCAATTACGCCATTTACGTCAATTACGTCGATTACGCTTAGAGCAAGGCATATTCACTTTTCCCCCCAGATCAAGTACGGATCCTATACTTATGCGTCTATCAAATGATTTGGTCACGTTTTTCATGCCCCAGGGTGGGGATTTTGGTCACTCAAATTACATTGTTAACATTGGCGTACTGCATGGAAAGGCAATGCGCCCACGTATGTATGTCAGGGCATGGTCGGGGATTGTCACTTAAATGTTGCCCGAGGGGTGGGGATTTTGTCACTTCAAAAGTGACAATGCCCACGTCTTGGGTGGGGCAGCCCGGGGGGGGGGGACAATTGATAGGCGCATTACAAGGATGAACGACTGTTCTGAGGTCTAAGTAGTAGTACAAAATGCACTGAACGGACTTGCCTTAATTGGTTGGACGCTTGATTAACATGCCTATAACAGCCGTTTGGTTGCGATGGCCGTTTTCTAAAGGTTACGTAATACTTTATTTTGAATGAAACAACATGCACACAGACATGTGGATTTTCGCGGGCGAAATCTTTAAAAAGCAATTTCTCCCGTTTGGAAGACCGTATCTTCATGCAACTTTCAGGGTTTGTTTCCCTTAAATTGATCAAACTATATGCTAAAAATCGGTTGGATATGTTTTCGTTGAAATTGGACAAATAGGCCTGGTTACGTGCATTTTTACAGTTGTGACACTGTGTTTGCAATATCTGTATCTTTTCAAGCCTCATGAATATTAATATTTTTAAAACAATTGTTTTCTAATTCGGCCGCTTTGTATTTATCTCATCCTGTGAGTGAGTTGATATTGTATTTTTTTATATTTTTTTTTGCATTTTAAATCGCTCTTATACATTTGCTCTTCAACAATTTCATTTTTTTTTATCCGAATTTTAAATTTGCATGTTTTATTTAAACGGAAATAACCTTGTTTAATTCATTCTATATCCAACTTGTTTGTTGGATGTCCCATTCAAAGGTCAATAACCTTTGTATGGTTCGAAAAATAGCAGTATAAAACAACATTTGGCTCTGGGTAAGACTCGAAAATACTGAGGGGGCGGGAAGCAATAGTAATCGTTTTTTTATGCGGCAGGGTCGTGCCCCATTGCAAAATAACTGCGTCAGATTTGTAAGGGGTCAACCATGCAAAGCATCCTTTCATAGACGTATATATGCATGCATTCTATGTTAACCGCTGCTCGAGTTTTACAAAGCCGATTCGAATATGAATTACTTTTCCTTTCTGAATTAAACAAATTCAAGGCTTGAATGGGGTTGTTATGGTTATCATCAGTGGGTATCTATAACGTTTTGGTACAGGCGTATAGCCAGGGTAGAAAGAAAGGGTATCATACGCTCAACCAAAAAAAGAAAGTCACCCCTTATACTTTTTTTGTGTAACTCAAAAACTACTGGGCACCTCTTACTCAAATAACGACTAATCAGTACAGAAATAGTATAAGGGGGTGAAATCAGTATTAGGCCAAAAAAAAGTCTCCGCTTTCTGGTATGCGCGCGCGTCGTCGTAGCCATGCGCGTCGGCAAAATGAAAAAGTTTTTTTTTCAATACAAGATGATTTATCAAAACCGCCAAACTCACTGGTTTGACTGGAATCCTGCTGCTGCACAATTTTAACGTGTTTTTAGATGGGGTTATGATCGAGAATAAGCTTTATGTGGCCTCTCTGGACTCCCATATATTTGCACTAAGTTTAGTCGGGCACCATTTGCAGTCATCAGCCGACATTTGAAGCAAAAAGCAAAAAAAAAAAAAAAAGCCGCGTCGCCGCACCACTTTTGGGGCAAGCTCCATACCAGAAACCGGAGACTTTTTTTTGGGCCTTAGGGGGTGCCTTTCTTTTTTGGTTGAGTGTAGGTCTATGCAAAACAAGACTGCGCCTTGACCTCGTGATTCTGACCATGGAGCGGGTGCCTTGTATCGTGTCTGATGTTGTACACGTATTACAAAACAAATGTCCAATCAACAGCTAATTAGTCCACATTTTCTGATCGATCATATGACGTCACAGATTCTAAACTCCACTCCGATTAGCTGGCGCGCGTGGTAGCATAAATTGTGCAACACATGCTAGGACATAGTAGGCGTCACGGTATCAGACGTTCGGTAACGTGGCTATATAGCTCTGCAGACTGACGTGACGTGAATGGCTGTGATCAGACAAGCTAGTGGCTAAAACCGAGTTAGGGGATATAGTTGCGGTTGGGAATGGTGATTTGCGCTTTAATTTCTTTTAAAAAAAGAAAGATAAAATGTATTTGCAAAATATCAATGGGGTGGGGATGGGAAGGGGTTGTCTCTCCTCGCCTGCTGGATCCGCCATTGGTCGATCGCCATTGGTCGATCGCCATTGGTCGATCGCCATAGGCTGTGACCAAGGTATTAAAGGTATAGTCCATCATTTGTAATTTGTGCATTTTGTTCGTTCGAAGCAACAAACGTTCTCAAAATCTAAAGAAGGGTGATAAACAACTAAGCTGATGAAGTTTCAGCTCAGCTTCAGCTGTATTTTTCGAGAAAAACAACATTCTAAGATCTCGATTTCAAATCAAAAGTTGCTGTATCATGTTTTGAATTGGGCCTGAATTCAGCGTCCGAGACACGTTCGCACTGAGCCGAATGCAGCTACGCCATGTCGCGCACATAGTTATAATAATAATAATAATAATAATAATGGCATTTATCTTGCGCAAAATGCATAACATATGTTCTAATGTTCTTATACTAGTTTTTGTTTTTAGCGAGTTCGTTTGCTTGGACCAGGTTTGTCAATAAAATGCTTCAGTCAATCCAATGAAAGTTGTCCATGCAGTGAATCGGAACACTTTAATATTAAAGCTAGCGACATCCCAGTGTGTTTGTATTATAGTTGCATGGATGAGAGCATGTCAGCATGCATATACAATCTTCAAATCAGCTTGTGCATTGACTGTATTAGAGACAAGTGTATTGGGGCGTTTTAAATGCTCAAACATTCACTCAGTTTTGTATATAATTACCTTTGGTTGATATGTACTTTTTTGGGGGGGGGGGGTGTTGGGAAGGGAATATGTTGTACATTCGTGGGCAAAAAGAACCCATTATTGCAAACCCTCTTGAGTGCATTTTTTTGTAATTACATTGAACCTTATATTGGATTTGGGGGTAAACAGTGTTAACTACTTTGTATACCGTTGCAGTGACTGTGGAACTTATATTAAAATTCCATCATCTTATAACTGCCAAACCGATTCGCATTACAATGTTATAAACGAGTCGTGGTGTTTGTCATTGAGGCTGTACGTGTTGTGTTGTAACCCGCAACCACCCTGACATATTGTTAGAGAGAAAAAAAAACTGATGTTGGGATCTCTTGCCCAGTATTGCATGACAGCGGGTCATGTATGGTACACCACAAGCTTCATCGTATAAAAGGTTGAGCGACCCGTCCTTGCATTGTCTGGCCAAACAATAACTGACAACCTTCAGCTGAGGAAGTATATAATACATCCATGGTAACCGCGCCTGTATTAACCTCGAATATTCATCACTTTGTATACTAGTTTCTGCATTCAAAAATTCCACGAATGCCACCACGTAACGTTCCAGTAACCACCATAATTCGAAAAACGAATTATATTAGGCATACAATGAAGGTTTTTTTGTATCACAAACCGAGGTAATATACAACAAACTCTAAATGAAATGATGATATGACCACTCGTTTTTAATTTGTTTTCCAAACTCCTGCAGTTTTGCGGGTACTAATTTCGCCTATATGTTAATGAGGTTTGGGTACGTTGATCATACTAAGGGCCCATACTGATCCGTGACTGTTCAATTAAGTTGAATACCATATGGAACATGTGAGATGTGGAAGTGGTACGGTTCATGTACATGCAAGGATACCACACTGCCACAAATTGAAGGAGACTAAAATTAAAAGTGTCCGTTCAATCACCAAACGTACGTGTGTTCTGTCCATTCTCTGCTCTGCCCACACCGAATCAGGTGCACATTTGTCAATTGTAAGTATTAATATTAATATTTTTGTTTTTTTATCAAATCAATATTCATTTTGATGTAGCTTATACTGGCTGACTGACTGAAGCCCGATTAAAAAATGAGTGTGTCGCCGATTGTACCGAGTGACTATTATAACTGATGAACTGACTGACTGACAGACCGATTGATTGTGTCACTGATGGGTAAACTGAGTAACTGACTGAGTAAAGTACTGATTGACTGACTCCCCGATTGACTGACTGAGTGTGTCACTGATTGAGGGACTGGCTGAGTAACTGTCGGTCTGTCGGGCTGTCGGTCTGTCTGTCTGTCTGACTCTCGACAGACCGACTGATGACGTGTCACTGGGTATAGTGAGTGACTGACTGAGTAAAGTACTGACTCCCCGACTTACAGACCCTGATTGAACTGATCGAGGACTGGCTGAGTAACTGTCTGTCTGTCTGTTTGACTGACTGACAGACCGATTGATGACGTGTCACTGGGTATATACTGAGTGACTGACTGAGTAAAGTACTGACTGACTGACTTACAGACCCTGATTGTACTGATCGAGGACTGGCTGAGTAACTGTCTGTCTGTTTGTCTGTTTGTTTGTTTGACTGACTGACAGACCGACTGATGACGTGTCACTGGGTATAGTGAGTGACTGACTGAGTAAAGTACTGACTCCCCGACTTACAGAACCTGATTGTACTGATCGAGGACTGGCTGAGTAACTGTCTGTCTGTCTGAGTGATTGATTGAGTGTGCCACTGAGTTTACTGAATGTCTGACTGCATGAGTAACTTACCGACTTACAGACCGACTGACTGACTTATGTCACTAAATATACTGGGTAACTGACTGAGTAACTTATACTGACTGACAAACCGACAGACTGAGTGTGTATGAGTATACTGAGTGACTGACTGAGTAATGAACTAACTGACTGACGGACCGACAGACTGAGTGTGTCACTCAATGAGTGTACTGAGTGACTGACTGAGTAATGAACTAACTGACTGACGGACCGACTGACTCCCCGTGTCACTCACTGCATGAGTATACTAAGTGACTGACTGAGTAATGAACTAAATGACTGACGGAATGACAGACTGAGTGTGTTTGAGTATACTGAGTGACTGACTGAGTAATGAACTAACTGACTGACAAACCGACTGACATAGTGTACGTGTCACTGAGTACACCGAGTGACTGAGTAACTTACTGACAAACCGACTGGGTGAGTGTGTCATTTGGTATATATAAAAATATGTCCTTATCCTTCGGATCCAACAAGTCCACTATCGTGCTTTTTATTTAAGAACATGTCTCTCATCATCCAGTTGTCGGAGAACTATAGGGTCATTATCAAAAATATCATTCGGACGGTCACGGATTCTGTAAAAGTATGGGTTTTTAAATTTTAATTTGGTGCTCAATTTTGTGCGTAGAGGTTATGTGTCTAGAGAATGTTTTAGTAATCAAAACCTTCATAGGAGATGATTGCTGTGAGCTAGCAGGTGTAACATACCAAACCGCATCCTCATACAAACACGACCTGCAGTGAATATTGTCCTATCTGAGCCCGTATTAACGAGAATCGACTGTATATGCCCTTGTTTATTTTATCATGATTTTACATCACATGTAAAGTATTTCGTTCCTGTATCTTAATGTTGTATATGCAGTTGTATTTTTGTAATAGAAGTATGGAAATAAAATTGTGATATTCAATTTAACAGAACATTTACTTCCATACCTGCAACAGTGATAAAGATACAAGAATAATACACTTATGTAAACACTTAATATAAAGCAAAATGAATGACACAAAAGAAAGAGTATACATTAATATAGTAGTATAACTTTTAGATAAAACAATTAATTCAAAACAAAAACTGTTAAAAAAAGTAAAGAAGATAAAAAACTATGTCCCACAATGAGAGATAAGAGCCCGTTTATAAAATCGTTTGAATCGACCAACGGACGGCTGGGTTTTTGTTGCTTCGCTGATGTTCTTCCAACGGCGAGGTCTGTAAAATCTCATGGTGCTAATTGAATATGAGGTGCAGGTGTATGGCAAAAATAAATTGTGTTTGCTGCGAGACCTGGTGTATACTAAATTGAATCTAATTAAATTACACATGCATGCACCACATGACTACATCCAGCGGCTGAATCCACTGTTACTTACGCAAGCACAGCAGATTTTACGAAGCTGATTTCATTTCTGATCTCTTTTTCCCCTGGTTGTTTCTTCTTTCGGACAGGTCTTGAATGATGCTAGGTATTTTATGACGCCTTGCTGCATCTTAGTCTGAAGAGAAACTGGAAGCTATTTCTGTCGACTTTTGAATCCCGGACACCAGTAAAGATGGCGCTGTGTTGCAACGTGTTCAAAACTTTGTGTCGCACCAAGACACTTGACATCAGTAATACCGAATCTCAATTCAAACGATGTCTGACAACCTTGGATTTGACTATCTTGGGCATGGGAACCATGATGGGGTCGGGGTTGTATGTGCTCACGGGTGTCGTCGCCAAGGAAACCGCTGGTCCTGCTGTCATCTTGTCTTACGTCATCGCGGGACTGGTGTCCATCATGGCGGCGATGTGTTACTCCGAATTTGGCTCCCGGGTACCGGTGACGGGATCTGCCTACACGTATACCTACGTCACAATTGGCGAGCTCTGGGGCTTCGTGATTGGCTGGAACTTAGTCCTTGAGTACGTTGTGGGCGGAGCTGCGGTTGCGCGCTCGTTTAGTGGCTACTTCGACGAGTTGATTGGTTATCGCCTCAGCAACTTCACGAAGAACGTCATCTTTGGAGGTCACACCTACGATATACCGTACTTTGCAGCATATCCAGATCTATTCTCCGGTATTTTGGTGATGTTTGTGGTACTGATTGTCATTTTTGGAGCAAATGTCTCAGCACGGTGCCTAAATGTCATGGTGTCTGTCAATCTCGTCGTGGTTACCTTTGTGTTTGTATCAGGGTTGTTCCTCGGTGATGTTAGGAATTGGAGCGACTTTTTCCCGTTTGGCTTCGCCGGGGCTTTCTCGGGTGCCGCTAGCTGTTTCTTTGCCTTCTCAGGTTTTGACGTCATCGCTCTGTCGAGCGAAGAGGCGATAGACCACGAGAAGGGAGTACCTCGCGCAACCGGCCTTTCCATTCTATTCGCCGGCCTGTCCTACGTCGCTGTCTCGGTCTCTCTGACACTGATGGTGCCGTATGACGAGATCTATGAAAACGCAGCCTTTTCTCACGCCCTTGCCTATCATGGTGTAGTGTGGGCCAAGTACGTGGTGGGAATAGGTGCTTTGTGCGGCATGTTCACATCTCTCCTTGGTACCGTGTTCTCATTGCCTCGCTCCATCTATGCCATGGCTAATGATGGTCTTCTCTTCACCTTCCTGGCTAAAGTGTCCAAGCGGACCCAGGTTCCAGTGATAGCAGCAGTGATATTTGGTCTCCTATCTGCAATCATGGCTGTTTTGTTTGACCTGAGTGCTTTGGTAGAGTTTATGTCCATAGGGGTACTCATGGCTTACGCCATTGTGGCTGGGGCTGTCATTGTGTTGAGGTACAGGCCTTCCAATGCTCTCAAAGGCAAAAGTCATAGCCCAGCCGAAGTGGCAAGTCCACACTCAAGCGACAGTGATGAGGAGGATGAGAGTTTGGCCGCTCCTCAAGAAGGCGCTACCGATGAGGAACTCATAGATACACTGGAGAGGGAAGGAAGTCTTAAACGTCAGTTCAGATTCCTGACATTTCTTGCTGATCGCGAGCCAGGCCAGGTCGTCTGCATCTGTTTGTTTTTGACTGTCATCTTCCAGACGCTAGTGGTGGTGGTTGGGGTAGCAGCATGGGACCGCATCGAGATGGGTGATTGGTGGGCCATTCTCCTGATGACTTCTTCTATTGTCTTGACGATCGTGACCTTTATTCCGATACCGATGCACAATCAGACGACGAATGGCCGTGGATATAATGTAAGTACTTGATGTTCATCTGAAAGGACGCTTTGAGTAGTCATTCATACAAACGATGACGTCATTTGAATTCTTGCAGCAAGCGTTATGGTAAACAGGGCGTCTATTTTACCTTTTAGTGGCAACAGTTTAAGCTGATTTAGAAAGTTTAGACCTGGAGACCAACACAAAAGCAAAAAGAGGCATTTTCGTCCAATTTTATTTGAATTTCTTTTATTATATTATTCGATTTGTCATCGCTGCAGGTTCCTCTAGTGCCGTATGTCCCCATGGTCAGCATATTCTGTGACATCGTCCTCATGGTTATGCTCAAGCCGGTCACGTGGCTACGATTTGCGATCTGGGTTGGAATAGGTGAGTCACGTGTTACCCCCGAGTGCTCCAGCTGCGCAGGCGCTAGACGCGCGCTCCCTTTGTAGATAGTTTTGGTGAAAGTGGATTCTATAGACGTGCATGTAGTCTGCTCTGTTGAGGATGCATTTTGATTGAGTAACAGCGTTCATAATAAGGTCAGCTTTTACTGTACCGGTATCTTTAGCTTCAAGGCAAATTGGAAACATGCATTCTGAGCCATGCTGTTACTTGGGCCAAACATTTGTCAAGAGACCCATTGGTTTGTTAAAAGTATGCCAGGGGAAGTGGAAGGAAACTTTGACCATTTTGTGACCTTTATACAGTAAGAAGGTTAACCGTTGTTACTGTAGGCCAAACACTTATACCATGAACCCATTTTTTGTATGCATTATACTCAACAGACTTGGTTCTTATTTTGTTAACAGGTTTATTGGTATACGGGTTGTATGGTTACTGCCATAGCGTCGAGGGACGACAGCGGGTGGCGTCCACAGACAAACAGAAGTACAAGATCATCTCAGACTCCGGCGTACCATCGCCACTGGCTCTATACGGGACAATTGCCCTGCAGCAGCCCAAGTCATCGGAAGAAGAAACTGACATGGAGAAAGAGAGTCCTCCAAGCAAGACCGAACTGTAACAGATAAGGAATAACACTACATATCTTAACATTATTAACAGTGTGGCTTGTTGCGCGCATCCTGTGCCGAGTTTACGTACGAGTCTCCTGCGAGACGCGCATGCGCTCTTTGCGACGGGACTCAGTACAGTAATTTTGTCGACGTGCTGAGATCTGACGTCAATGTCGAAGAAGAAAAGCCTCCACATTAAAGGGAAAATACAACATTTGCAAACATCAAAAAATAAAACTACCAAATCATTTTGAAATACCTTGCTGGACTGTTAGTGAATGACAGTGTAAAGCATCCTGTAAAATCATGGCACCTGGTATACTGTCATTTTCAAGAAAAGCGGTATTTTTGTATCAATTTCCAACGCTGATCGGCCGATCAGCGTTGGAAAAAAACTGGCTTTTTTTCAAATACTGGCCCCAGTTGACCATCGCACTTGTTTGCAATCGATTACACACCTATGAACGGGTCGAGCCAGCTAGACTGGTTCCCTGACCTTACAATTCCCCAATATATGTAAACTGCTCCGTTTCTTTTTAAATGGAGTCAGGGAACCAGACTGCAGGAAAATGATCGTTTTTCTTGGTTTTTATAGCATTTTCGAACCCAAAACCTCAAAAAAAAAATCAGTGTAAGTATACAATGTATTTGCTATATATTTCCAACCCCCCAATTCCATTCATTTCTGAAAATTACAGCAAAAGCAAATGATGTATATTCCCTTTAAGTTACAGTTGCTTTCCCAATATGCTCTCCCACGAAAACGGTGTTTTCTTCAAATTAATTTTTTTTTTCAATCTAAACGCTCAGACAGACCCACCTATATTATTGTCGAGCGGCAAATAATACGAAATTTGCAAAGTAATCAGTACTTAATGCTCTCTTTTTTTTCTCTCTTTTTTTAGCCATCATTCAAAACTGAATAACTTTAGTTTTGCTAGAAAATAGCGATTAGAAGCTCGAAAGCCATAATAATAATAAGAAGAAGATAATAAGGAGCCGGATGGGAATTTTCCCGTGTTTTCTCCCAAAAGGGTTTTCGCAGGGTTTTCGCCCCTCCCGTAATCGGCGAATATAGTTACAGCAATATTTTTTTTTCTTTTCTTGATGTTAGAAGATAGATCCAAATTGTTCGTGTTCACTTAATCAACTTTATAGTAAAGCATTCACACTGCACATGTAGTAATAATAGTTTTAAAAATATATTGTATTTATAATATTTGCTTAACACCTATGCATTATTCAAATAATGTTTTATCTCACTGTATTGAATTTTATTGTACTTGAAATGCATTGTATAATTATACATGTTTGTAGTAATTATTTATTGCATCCAGGGCCCCAGTGGAAACCAGTTTTAAACTGTTTGGGCATACCCTGGGTAAAGAAATGGAATAAATAAATAAATAAATAAATACAGAACTTTGCAAGGACAGCCAGAACCCTTCTCTCTTTGCTCGTATTCGGTAGGCTGATAGAATTTACAGCTTGCATTGTGCTTCACATTTATAAATACTGTGGACAAAAGTCCAAGTCTCAACCTTGATTTTGGGCAAATATTGGTATTCGAGATAATTGTGCAAAAAGTATTACTGACAAAAGTATAAAGTATTTTGTGAAAGTTTATAGTCTGTAAGATAAATGTAAGGTTATTTCTAACCTTTAACTGTTATTAATTATGAATTTCGTTTTGAAGCTTAAATTTAGGCTACATAATTATATTGGATATCATTTTCTATGGCTCACTTGATGCCGGTATGTATTATTGATGTGGTACTGGTACGAAGTCAAGGGCGGATCCAGGGGGGGGGCCAAAGGGGGCCATGGCCCCCCCCCCCCAAAACGAAACCAATTTTTTTTTTTTTATGTGACATCGCAAAAAAGGCAGGCAATGAGTACACCACCATCTTTTCCTCAAAAAAACATTGGTTAAAGTGGTCAGAAATTGCCTCAGATCGCACCACAGAGCATCTAGAATCCAAAAAAATTTCGGGGCCCTTAAGCGGGCCCCGAACCCCACGCCGTAATTTTTGGACCCGCTTTTTTGGAGGACCAAAAAATTTTTTGGCCCCCCCAAAAATTGTGTTCTGGATCCGCCCTTGTACGAAGTAGGCCTACATGCTTCAATAACTTTTCAGAGCGTTACCCATATTATTTTTGTGTCACATTCTCGTGTATGAATACTATTTATATCCTCGATGTACCGGTTTTCGAGGTTGAAAAGATTCATTCCAAGCAAGAGACAAAACCCCGACATAGCCTGCGGTTTCCTTTTTTTTTGGCTGGCGGTGGAACGAACCGAACCGAACACACATAAATCAACTTGTTGCATGGTACGAATCTGCGCGAGTGTGGCGCTACAAGGTCAAACCATGGTCAAACCTCGACAACTTGATGCCTCGAAAACAGGTACAGTCCAGTCTCGTTATAACAAACTTATTTGTTATATCAGCATTTTGTATAAAGAGGAACATCAGTCCCATTCATTAATGCACAGTCGGGACTAAGGCTTTATGTTTGTTATAACCAGAATTTTGTATTAACAGAGTTTGTACTAACGAGAGTCGACTGTACACGGACGTCGATGCATGTATATAACCATAGCTCTATGGTAGAGCAATGTATTTACTTTAATCTATGTTTTCATGAAACTATTAATTAATGTAAATTATATCTACTTCCAAAATATTAAATAACAATATTTTTGAACGAAAAAATAAAATAAAATACTGACTGTCCGTAAGTTTCTGCTTAAATTGAAACATTTGGAATTTGAATAGGGATGTGGTTCTTATAAGATTACCCACTGATCTCTATATAAAGACTGGATAGCGGATAGAGAGCCGCACAGTGGATGAATTTGACGCCATATTGGTGAGACCGGCTGGTGATCTACAAAGGACAAGTTGCCGTCTTTATAGGCATCATGATTACTTTTGTAACATCGCAGTTCACTTGGTTTATATTTTGACCACCACCACTGACCACGGTTTATAATTTTTCTAATGTCGTGGTTTTCTTTTTTTTTAATGCCGCAGTTCCTTTTTCGGCGTTTTGGAAATAATAATCACTGCGGAAATGTGTCCTTTTTAGAACATCATAATACGTGTACGTGACCAAAATGCGCGTCAACTCTTTATAGACCGCGCGCGATATGTGGCTCATTCTTCGTTAAGGTGTTCAAGTTGGAACTAGGACTTTACAAAATATCAACTACAGTGAATATATGAAATCTGCTCAAAATCGTAAAGTTTAATAGCTCCAGGACATGGAACAAAACAGTACTGATTTTTAACTAAACCTTTTTTTTTTACATAATTACTTGAAATTTAACCTTCTAAAACGTGTTTAACAACCTAACAGATACGTTACCACTAGTTTATTTATAGACAAGTTGTCTTTGAAACGAAAACTGGGGAGGCTTAAGTCAATATGAATTTCGGAGCTACACATTGTGAAAGACAGACTAAAAATAGAGGGATTTGAGTGACAGTATTTGACAGGTACATTGGAAAACATCGTGTTTTTCTAGATTGTGAAAACAAGGCACATAAATTGTCTGTCTCGATTTGCTATGCACATAATCTCAGTTGCTACATCTATCACTTTGCATGTTGCAATTTCGCATTTATTTGCCATAAACTAATAATTAGTCATTACCATTTTGATGAACAGGTAATTACACAAATATTTCCCATGAGATTGAGATAGTGAGATCCACAATGCCAAGCTACTTTGGTAACATCTGGCAAATTAAATTTATAATTAAAACACCATATACGGGATGACGCAGTAAGCAGCACTTACACAAAACTTTATAGCAGTTGCTGTAATCAATCATATTATAATGATGTTATTGAAAACGCCACGCGTTCCATACACCAAAGTTGTCAAAATATAAAAATGTGTACACCCTGTAAACGAACAAAGTCAGAACCCGACAATTAAAAAACAATCAATAAAAGTCGAGTTTGCATTGTTTCACACAGCAGAAATGATCCCAATTTCGTCATTCTACGTTATAATGTGCATTTTATGAACACATGGAATAAAACAAAGGCGATTTTTAACAAATGTTTTTATTTGGGGGGAAAATAACCACTTGAAGTTAAGTCTTCTAAACGTCGTGTAACGATCTACCAGATACGTTACCACAAGTACACTTCAATAAATTCATGTCTTTAAATAAGATTCTGTAGATATTTTAAGTAGATGTGAATTTCATTGGTACACATTGTGACAGACAGACTGAAAAAAAGGGTTTTGTTGATTCTGTTTGTCAACAAAAAACATCATTAATCGTTAAAAACAACAAAGAATTACTTAAGTATATAATTCAAGGACCATAATGCAGGGCGGATCCAGAAATTTTTGCAGGGGTCGGCCTTTCAGATATTTTTTTTGTATCCCAATGTTGCGATTTTTTTGGGGGGGGATTCGGAGCATGACGGGGGGGGGGGGATCGAGACCGTGGGTTTGGATCCGCGCCTGCGTTTAGAATATCATCTTGTTCTATTATTAAGGTTATAATTTTTATTTATTTTATTTTATTTCATTTTTGGGGGGTCAGAGCAGGGGAATATAAATTATATGGAATAATCATGTGACGTTTTGTTCGCGTGATATGTTTTGCGCATGCATATCACGGTTACTGACTTTACTAAAATGCAACTAGTGCACCCCTGGCAAACAATCCTGATAAACTATGACCAAATGATTTAAAATTGAATTCAGGCACACAGGATGGAGGTCAGAATTTCCTTTTCCTAAGTGTGTTGAGCTGCCCCACCTCCCACCCCCTAAGTTCACCCCGAACCAACCCACCTACACTACCACCCGAACCCTCGAAACCATCATTTAAGTGTCCGTGTTGCTTAGAGATAATGTCTGAACAATACATTTAATTGTATCATCTTAGCTACGCTCGCAAATTAAAGATTGATATTTGAACAGAAACGTTACCGAGCTGATCAGATACGTTACCATAATAACACAAACTGTGTGACCTTAACTACTTCTTCCGCCATTTGATCAGTCATCACCCAGCACACTGTTGACTGGTATGGTGTTTGAGGTCAGCTTCCTTCACGTGTCTCGAAAGGAAAGGCAAAAATAGGTGACGTATCTGGCGCTACACATACGTGACACATGAATTTTTTTCGGTGACAGTTCTAAAAAAAATTCAAATTCAAAACTTAAAACCTCCTCAAATTTTTGTACCAAGGAGGAATGGGGAAATTGCACCAAGGCAAATGATAAAGGGCACCAAGGCAAATTATGGAGAACACCAATGTATAATGAGGGCACAAAAAAGCAAAATAGTACCCACCTTGTCTGTATAATTCAAGCTTGAAAACCCCCCCCCCCCCCCCCCCGTCGCCGAATCAGTTCCGGAACCTCGGTCTGACCAGAGACCGATTTTTTTTTTTTTTTTTTGCCTTACCCCGTGCGCGTGAAGGCAATGGATAGGCAAAAACCAGCCCATTGTGTAGACCACATGCATTATCAGGCAGTGAGTAGCCATTCTGAATCGTGTACTCTGGGACCCGCTTTACTAGACTTGCCTAATGTCAACCATTAAAAAAAGTCATCATGCTGCACGCAGGGCGCCCTCTACGGCTGCAAAATAATAAATCTTGATTTTGCAGCCGTGGAGGGCGCCCTACGTGCAGCTATCGACACGACACGTGCGTGGTCGCTGGCCAGAATAATGACAACATTGCTATATTTCATATTTAGGCACCTGGTTTAAAAGAAAGAAAAAAAAAACACTTACAAAAACGCGAACATGTGACGTGCACTGGGCATTAATTGTATGGTGACAGCTGTTTTTGCTCTATGATGGGTCGAATGACATGTTCCAAAATCAAATCAGCTGATTTGAAGTTGAATACTTTACCATATTTAGGCTACTTAATTGTTATGCTTGTGAAGTTGTGTGCTGATTCAGCACCCCCCCCCCCATAAGGCTTCAGCATTCAACTCCAAGGTCACGAAAGGCAAAATGTTAGCAATGCATGGGAAACTGCACATAACACCTCAGATTTGTGCAGTGAAACGATCAAGATCAAGATATGTGACAGTAAAAGGTAAGTTTCTCTGGATGCTCGGCGCGGCGGTCTATACATGCTATATGACCATGACTGAGTGACTTGTACACATACGAACTTGGCCTATGCATCGTGCGGGAATTTGCACGCCTGCGCACTTGCAGTCATTTTTAGAAAAATATGTCGGTGACTTGCCTACGTCACAGACAACCCGAACGTTTGCGGGTCAATCCAGGTCAATTCCCGCGCGGACCATCTATTTTTGAACCGATCGATATTGCGGTCGGCCGATATGTAATCTGATACGTTCCCACGCCACGGCCAGGCACTATGCATACATCCTGCATACAAATACGTATACGTGTATGTACATGTATTGGATGATCCAGGGGATCGGCGAGCTTCAAGTCAATTTTTTTCAAATCGGAGTTCGACTCGAAGCTTGCTTCATTTTATTTTTGACCAAAATGCAATTTGGGATTACATGTATATTCAAAGTTACATAATAATACAGCAAATATGAAAGACCGTTTAGATCTCTACATCATTTGTTGTGAATTAGCCACTGGAAAACACAGTACAAAATAACTTTATTTAAGTTTAATAACTATTCAAAATCTGCACCTGTGGTTTTTAGTATTTTACGACGATGGAAAAAAAACATTTTTAAAGTTCTTTATCCTTTTTTCCCCGGCATATTTTTAAAGTTATATTTCATTGTCATAGTGCTAGCCCAGGGCGGATAGGCATCGTGTCTTTTTGCTATCAGTCTTTATGTTATCATTTTAAAAATTATTGTGTTTTACAGGCATGTTTTATTCATAGGTTAATTTAAGTGTAAGTTTTACTATTGTCAGTTCTTGCATGCTGTTTTTACTGTTTTTACTCTTTGATTTACACCAGGACAAGAATGTGTTTGTTTTAAACTTAGATGACTAATACAAGTACGAATATGAATGTTCACCACTTGTCAATAATGTCGAGAAGTTATAACAACAAAGGCATGAAAATAAAAGGAAATACACTTGATGCCAACTTCACGAAAGGGGTAGATCATGGGGGCAATTCCGAAGAGTCGTCAAAGAACAGACGCAAAACAAACAATCCAGATTATAATCTCCCCCAGGCTAATACATAGTCAAAAACCCGTTCTTTAAAAATCGAATCAGAGTAAGTAAGCAGTAAGCAGTAAGCATGACAAGTCTTTTAAAAAATAGTTTTGAAATTTTTGAATCAAATTGCAAAAGGTTTTCAGCGTTTTTACGGAGGGACTAAATTATCAATCCAAAAATCATACCTTTTTTCAAAATTCTTGTTCCGGCTGAAATTGCACGCAACGAACATTTTTTGGAAAGAAGTCTGGGTCAAAATCAGATAAAATCAACGAAATCATAACAATCAAATCAATGTTGAGAAAACTTCACCTGAATGTCTTTTGATTTTTTACGAAGAGACAAATTCGTGCAAAGGGTGGGGAATGGGTATCGGCAATTTGCCAAAACAACAAGTGTGTGGGATTTAGTTTTCACGACCAGACAAACATCTATGGGGATTAGTTACGATACCGGTACCTCGCAATTGTTGTTCCATTATTCTGTAATTGGTACATCTTTGAAGTTTCATCTGCGTTTCAAAAGTTAGTCAGTAGTATGCGAAATGTTTATTCCAAATCGTGACCAACTTAAAACCTCTTTTCTGACAACCACTGCAAGTTCAACGGGTGCATTATGTTATACCTGTTCCCCAAACCTAACCCTAACCGTTAAACCCCAACACCTATTGCGGCAAATTCACCCCTTCGTGAAAACGCTGACAAATTGGAATAAGCGAAATCTGGATAAAGTCAACACTGATAACTCAAAACCTGAAAGTCAAACCATCCCTCCATGGTCAAAGAAAACTGCATAGTACTACGAAATAAAACAATATATATACCCTGATTAACCAAATTTCGAGTTGTTCCGTAGCTGCATGGGAGGCTATACTATCAAGGTTGGGGCCTTAGGCCTATATATCGCAAGTCCGACTCCTCCGATGATAAACCTGGACCCCCGCCACGCCTCGGAAGTCCGAAATTTCCAAATTATTAGGCGTCGGACTGATGAGGTGTCGGACCTAGGCGTCGGAATTTTATAACAGTTATGGGCCTTATATTAGATTTTGCCGGACTTGGGGCCTATATGCGTCTGACATAATTATATGAGGCTTAGCGGAGCCCTTAAGATTTCCCTTTAAGTCCAATGTTATTGAAAGGTCAGAAACGATGGAAAATGATGAATACTCCGAATACAAAATACTCTAAATAATTATGGAGAACTAGTGATCAAAGGCATCTTGTGAGCGAATAGTTCGACAGTACTGATTGTTATTCTCCTCTGATGTCATTGTGTATCGTCTAAACATGAGAATGCAGTTTCTATTTTGTTGGTTTCTGACAAAGGAAGGCATTTCAAATACATGTATTTTGCTCCAATTTTTAGAGAAAATATTCTGAACTTGCGGAAAAAGGACCCACCAAGTCAGAACGTCGGCCAAAGAGGCGAAAAAAGCCCACGGGGGTACGGACGTGCGGATCCAGATAATCCACCCTAAGAATTTCTGTGTAATAAGCCATGCTAGAGTAAACTTTTAAATAATAAAACATGAATCAATGAAGTTGGAGGCTCACTCGGATGGCAGGTAAGGGAGCCGCTGGTACGTTCAAGTTTGACACCACCGAGGAGAAAGAGAAGGCTGCCGGCCAAGGCTAATGCAGCTAAGGAGAAGGAGAGAATCAAGGCCAAGAAGGAACGGGAAATGAAAGCCAAGATTGCAGAAAAGCCAAGAAAGCCAAAATGGTGAATAAAGTCAAGAAACCCGCGCCGAAGAAGTCACCCAAGAAAGCTGCCAAGAAAACGCCATCCAAGTCAAATATACATCTGTCAGCCAAGCCAGCCAAGCCAGCCAAGAAGCCAGCCAAGAAGCCAGCCAGCAAGAACACATCGAGCAAGCAGAAAAAAGTGTCGGCCAAGCCTTCGAAGAAATCATCGAATCAACAAACTAAAACCAAAACGGCTCTTTTCAGAGCCACAACATTTTCACAAAATAGATATGAGATATTCGTTTCTGCAATTTGCATTTTTATTAAATTTTATATTTTTCATGATTACTGTTTTTAAGTTTTCGTATAAAGCCCCCCCCCCAAAAAAAACCCCCAAAAACATCATTGCATGAAAATAAGATATTTTCACCCCATATTCCATTCCGCGCCAGGGGACAGCGCAAAGGGTGAATAAAAAAAACCATGATATTCCAACCTCCTGATTCGGAGTACTCTAAACTCCCCCCCCCCCCCCCCCACACACACACACACACCCACGCTTAATTGCACAGGCGTAGAAGTGGGGACGCGGCCCCATTCCCCATTTGCCCCCATCCCCCATTCGCCCCTCCCCCCGTCCCTAACGCCCCCTTCCCCGGGGTCTGGATAGTGGTGCACGGAAAAAAGGAAAAATTAGGAACAAAGGAAATTTTATCCCCGCCCCGCCCCAAGGGGTCGGGATAATTGGCAAGGCCAAAAGGGTCAATAAAAAATGTGCATGGAGTGTTCCCGGTGCACCGCCCCCTATCTCCCCACCCTTCCAACCTGCACTCCAACCCGCGGGCCTCCCTCACCCCACCCACTCAACCCCGTCCCGTCGCTTTGGGATAGTAAGGGACGAAAAAAAAGGCCATCAACAAACGGAATCCTTGCTTTGTAACGCTTCTTCCATAGCTCCTGCACGGGTGCATGTCTATGTTCCCCAATTCCGATGTTCCCTAATACCGATGTTCCTCGAAATCCTTACCAATATAACCCTAACCCTAACCCTAACCCTAATCCTATGGATTTGGGGGAACATCGGTATTGGGGAACATCGGGTAGATCCCCTGCTCTGCTGCACGTACGTACGTGTATACTGTATACAGACTAACTGATCATTCGCAATTTTTGGCATTTCCTTCGAAAAATGTCCATGCATATTGCTCGCGACCATCGCACAATCAAACCGACCACCCACATGTGGCACACCATTCGACAGCTAAAATCCTCAACTATTCGAAATAAATTCATTTGAATTTGAACCAAATACTGGAAAGAAGACAAACGGGATTGAAGAGATGGACTCCTACTCCTAGCGAGAGTGGCCGAAATTGATCGACGACGATGTCATGCGCGTATTTTAAAGCAAGAATTTGACGATTGCGTCATAAAATTCGGCGCTGTTCACCTAATTTGCATACGAAGGTTTCTGTGAATAGTTTGTCGTGGCCCCCACCCTCTGCCCCAAGGATCGGGATTATAATGCAAGGACCAAATCAAAAGAAGATTGAGAAATTCCAGGCCCTCCCAATCTGCGGCTCTCCCGGGGATATTCAACCCTCCTGGTTCGGAGTACTATAACCCCTCCACCTCTCTCTCCCCCTCTCTCTCCCAGGAATGATATTCCATCCTCTTTGTTTTGGGAAATCCAACCCGTCCCCCCCCCCCCCTCCACCCACGGGCAAGCAAGTCTGAATAAAATCACTTGAAGAATATGCAATCCTTTGTTTGGTAAATCCACCAGCCCTGCCCGCTCCCATACCCACCCACTGGGCATGCAGATTTGGAACTTAGAATCACTGGAAGAAAATCCCCCGACCCCCAACAACCCCTACCCGGCCTCAACCCCCACCCCAACCCAGTCTCGCAGTAAAAAAGAAAGTCTGGCCGGGAACGTAATTGCACCACCACCGTAAAAAGACAAAAATCACTGTTGGAAAAGAAAATAATTTCAGCTTTCTTGGCATGGCTTGAACCGCACACCCCGCCCCCGCCACACCCGGGGGTCTGAATATGATATCCAGGACAGGGGAAATGAAATGAAAGGGGTAGGCCTACTCCCAATAATGTAATGAAGGTGCATCATTCATCAGAAAACAAAACATCTTGCTTTTTAGATTAATTTTGTTTTTTTATTAGAACGCAAGCGGTGATGGCGTGATCAATTATTGAAAATCATTTGCAATTTTTGGCTGTT